GCTCCTCGCGGCGCGTCCGAGGACGTCCAAATTCTCAGCGGGGCCTCTTCGGCGCGCTCTCGGCCGCCTTTCGGACGCGGCCACTTCTTGTCAATGGGTGCACACTGCCAAGGCGCAGCCAGGACCGCCGGCGTAATGAATTACACGGGGATTACCGTACCAATAACTCACGCACCACGCCCAACGAATACGCACGCACGCACGCACGCACACACAGGGGCATGCGTGCACTTTGCGTTACATTCTAACGTCCCGGAACGGCGCGAGGAAATGCCGGCGCATGCATGACTACGAGGCTGTAGGCGCAGCTAGGCACAGCTAGGCGACGAAACAATGGCCGATTAAACGGAGCCACCCTTTCTCCTCGGGGCAAAAGACGTATGCGACTCGCAAAAAGGAAAATGGGTTCTTGACGACAAATTTAAATGACCTGTTGGGCCACTGCGCGGTGTCGGCGCCCTCATCAGGCACGGCCTTGATGGGGTCAATCGGGTTCAAGGCGGCGCCGCATCCCAGTGCCCCCGATTCCCGGAAACTGGGCCACCCTTGAACGGAGGGGGGGGGGGGGCTAAGCGGGTGGAAGCGGCTTCCGAGCCGCGCCTCTTTACTTTTATTCCCACGAAGAAGAGAGGGGGGGGGGAGAAATAAGGCCAAACAAAAGGCAACAAAATCGAGAGGAATGATGGAAAGCAAGTCGACAAACGGAATGAATCCTTTGCTCATCCCGGCAGTGCCTGGCTGGGCTCGGCTCGGCAGCCACAGCGGGAGCCACCCACAAGGCGAGAGCGCCCGGCCGGTCGTTGTGGCCGAGTAAGTCAACACCGAAATTGTTTCATTAAGGTAAAGGGCACGGCAAAAAATAAAACGCCGCGCACTGGAATAAGTCCAGTTGAAAGAGGAAACCCTTTCAGCAGAGAGGAGTTTCCGGCCAGGGCGAAAGGGTGACTCCGCCAAAGGGACCGACCCCGCAGTGCACTGACCTAGGTCGCCCGGCGTAGCCAAGGTGTAGCCTCGGACGGGGACCTCGACGGGGACGGCACTTTTATAATGCATCCGAGCGGAGCGGAGTCAGGCCGAGCACAGCCGAACAACGCGGACCTCACCGCACAAGTCACAAGCGTTTCTATGCGCGCACGCACGCACACACACACACACACACACACACACACACACACACACACACGAGGCAGGCGACAACGACGCGGCGACACACGACTGACCTATTCGAACGTCACCTGAACCTGTAGGTGTCGGTGTGTGAGTGTGTGTGTGTGTGTGAGGTAGGGAAGCACAACACGGCGCACTACATGCTCCGCGAGGAAACAAGCGGCGCCTTCGTACTGCGTGTGTGTGTGTGTGTGTGCGCGTGAGCCCCATAAAGTGCCCCTGCACTGACAGATCAAGCCAAAAGCACCATTGCACCATTAATTCCGCCGACTTTAAATATTCGTCGGCAAACGAGCCTTCCCCCCTTTCCTTGACTGTTTTTGTTTTTGTGCTGTTTTGTTTTCGTTTTTTTTTTTTTTCATGCCCTCGACTCCGCGGTCGCCGTCGTCTGCTGCTCGGTCGCGGGGTGATGACGGATTTACAAGGGCGCGCTCGCTCTAGAAGTGCGTCTCGTCTCTCGGTCCTCGTCTGCAGACTTCGGCCGCCGAGGACAGGTGCGGACGGTCGCGCGCCAACAACGCGAATTGCCGCCGGCAGAGGCATGCCGCCCCGGAGGGCCCGGAGGACCCGGAGGACGGGGGCGCAGCGGGTCTCTCACACACGCACACACACACACACACGAGTATGCGTCTTGTATGTATTCAATTCGGGCCATGTATGCATTTGGGGCGGCCAGACGTCGTGGCGCTCATTTTACAGCGCCCTGCCCCACCTCGCCCCGCCACGCCCCGCCACGCTCCACCACGCCCCGGCGGCGGTGCGCTGCTGGGTGGTCGTCTAGTCCCCTTCCACCTCAAGATCCCCACATGTGCCATTTCCGAGAGAAAAGGCCCTTTCCCCAACGTGGGGTCCGAAATAGAATCCGCACACACACATACACACACACAAGCATACACGTGCACTCACACACACACACACACACACACACACACACCTCTATACGAGCGCACGCATGTGCACGCCCCGCCACGCAATACACTATAGATGCTTCGACGGCAAACATCACCAAAGGCCCTGCTTGCACACACGCACACACACATACGCACTCACACACACACGCACACACACACGCACACACACTCCCGCACCGCGCCCGCCCTTCGATTCGCCGCGAAACAACCAACACTTAACGTTTGATACCGCTAGCAGCGCGCGCATACAAGCAGCACACTGACCACGGACCACGTGCAAAGCTGCAAGCACCACCGACACACACACACACACACACACACAGACAGACAGAGGCGCTGCTCAGCCCAGGTATAATGCAAGGCACACAGTCGCGCGGTCGCATATTTGCCGTCGTAATGTCTAAAATTACGATCCGCTTCGTGTGAAGCATGCAGCGGCGTGCAGCGCCGCGCGGCAAAAACGGCCGGCACACCAGCAGCGCTGCAGCGGCTGCAGCCTGCAGATGTGATTTACGGGTTTTGTAATTACAAACACTTCCCGCGGGCGCTCTGCTCGGCGCTCTGCTGGGCGCTCTGCCACTCCTCGCGCGGTGTGCTCCAGGGGCGTGGCGCGCGGTGGGGCAGCACTGCGCTCAGCAGCCAGCGTCCAAGAATTACAAACTCCGTTTAGTAGCCATTCCACGTAAACAAGCAAGAGCAGACTGTTGTTTCGCCAAATTTTTCATAGCGGCTTGATGGGCGGCAGTCTCGCCATTCAGCCCCGTCCACTCTGAATATTCTGTGTGCTGTACTCGCTGGCCCGGCCGCCTGGCGCGGCCCTGGCGTGGCCCCGGCGGCGCCCCGCACGGCCGCGACGTCGCAATGACCAACAGAATAAAAAGGGACACGAGAGAGAGAGAGAGAAAAGAGAGAAAGGAACAGGGAGACGGCGAGGGCACAAGACGGGCGCAAGACAAAGAAAACGACAACCACGACGACAACTGGGAGCAATTTTCCATGAATGAAGAAGAACAGGGCAGAGAGGTCTCGGATAATGGGATTGTGGTCCTCCACCGCCACGGCCTCGACCAGGGCCTCGACCGGGGCCTCGGCCGGGGTCTTCGTGTGCAAAGGGGCTCCGGACGCGCCGCCGGCCGGCCGGCCGGACTGCAAGACCATTTATTTGCAAGGCACGTATATGATATGAGGATGTTCTGCCCGCTGCAAAGCCATATGCACGGACAGAACAAGCCGTCCTCGCCGTGCCTTGCCACGCCGTGCCCGGAGCGCCGGAGCGGGCCACCCACACACGGGGCGCACGACCCCGTCCGCGTTTTCACAGTGTGCTCCCTTTCTGGCGCTGCTGCCTGCACTGCTGCCTTGGCGGCGTGATGGACACGGCGCCGCGCATGCACACGGTGACTGATGCGCAGGTCGCCGTGACGTCACGGCACGCTCCGTCTCTCTCGCACTCGCGGGCCGTGCCGGCGGGGGTGCGAGAGAGACAGAGCGACGGCCGCGGCGGTTCATCTGCTCCGGATAATGACCCCCGCGCCGTCGCCGCTCGCCCACTTTCACTCGCGGCGTCGGCGATCATGACGTCACCCGGCGGCGGTTCGCTGCCCTCCGCGCCAAAGTCCGAGTTGTCTGCGGCCGCCTCGGGCAGGCCTCGGGCCCGCGGGGGTCAAGGCCTTCTCAAGGCCACCGGCTCAGCCCCCGAACCGCCGCGCCGCCAGGCCGCCGCGGATTCGCCGAGTTGTTTGTTTCGCATGGCGGCCGTAAAAAGGGCCGCGCGGCAGAAAGGGTTGAGGGATGGCCCAGAATAAGGGAGGACGCGTGTGTCTGTCTGTCCGTCCGGGGGGCGTAAACTCGACGCCAACTGAAACCGCGTGGCCGCCGTCAGGGGGGTGCGGAGGGAGGGGAGGGGGAGGAGCGCCCACTGGACCGACCCGAGAACACATAGAGATGGCCCAGTCATTACTCATTAGCCCTCCATTAGTTACGCCCTGACCCTCGCTACCGCCAATTGGCGCTCACACACACACACACACACACACATACACACAGAGCGCGGCCACAGAGTCCCCAGCAGGGCTCCTTGATCCCCGTGCATCGTTACCGCACCGCAATACACCGGTAACATCAGCCGGACAGGAAGACTCCCCCGCCGGTACCCGACTACTCCCACCACCACACTGCCCACCCAACAACAGCAAAAACAACAACAGCAAGCAGCGAAAGAAATTGGCGCGGCCGGGCAAAACAAGGTGTGGTTTGGTCCAATCTGCGGAACTTTTTTCCCTCGTTGGTTTTGTTATTACTCCAGGAGTCCACACCACCACACCGCAGTCCTAGTACGTATGTCCCCGTCTCTCTCTCTCTCTCTCTCTCCAAGAGTCCCTCGCAGCACACCACCACGACGGCGCGGTGCAGTGCGCAGTGCACGGCACGAAGGGGTACACAGGCTGCCGGCCAGGTCGTCCCAGGTAGCCCCAGACGGTACGAGGAGGAAAAGACGTGAGTAATGAGGCTGATTGGAGGGAAACGTGACAAGACTGAGGTAGAGGCGCGGTCTCTCTCTCTCTCTCTCTCTCTCTCTCTCTCTCTCTCTCTCTCTCTCTCTCTCTCTCTCTCCCCCCACAGACTCAGAGGTGCCGTGTGTACACCGCACGTTGGTTACCGTCTGCGAGGCGCTCCGTGAATTCCTATTGGGATGAAAATGAAATCACTTCCATCAACACGTCCCGGGGAAGCCCACTTCCGGGCTGCGGGCGAGCGAGTGCCAGCGGTGCCTTGCAGCAGCCCAGCCGGGCACACACTGAATGTTATGTGCAATTTTGTACGAGACATCACAGTTTTTTGTGCACACGAAATTTTCGTACGATTTTTATACGAAAAATTGCACATTTTTCGCCATTTTCGAAGAAAGTTGATGAACCTTACCTTGGCGGACGACAGGACGTAGAGGAAGTCCCCGTTGGGGGACAGCGTCGTGTCCGGCAGGATGGGGTGGCCGGGGTCCACGGGGACGGACTCGTAGTCCAGGGCCTGGTTCGCGCCGGAGATGAGCACCTGCGAGAGAAAACACGAGTCGGTCAGCAACATTCTTTTACAGTGTCACCGTCGATACAATCGAACGGGCATGCCTCTGTTTAATTTTCCTCTAATATGGTAAAGGACGGAGCAGAGGGAGAAAGTAAAAGGCACAAAAAAAGAGAGGGGCAACAAAAGAATCCGGTTGGATGTCGCGAAGGGGGAGCAAGAGCGAGAGAATACGCAAACCATTAGGCGGACAGAGACAGCGATAGGGAATATAAATAGGGGCCCGTTTACGTGGCAAGTTTCGGGGGCGGGATCGGAATAAGAGCAAGCGAGACAGAGAGATGATGATGCAAACAACAAATGGAGGGGATTTCGACGAGAAAAATGAAGGAGGGAGGGAGAAAGAAAGAAACTGGGAACGAGAAAAAGTTGCGCCCACGAAGGAGGCGAAACAGACGAAGGAGCGCAGCGAAAGGGAGAGGTCATCTCGACAGCCGAGGCCCGACCCGACCTACTGCTCCGTCGTGTCTCTCTGTATTGACGAAACTAAGACACGGCCGGAGTAGCGGAGGCACCATCTAGCCGCACCAAAGCGGGCTGACCAGCGGCCAAAGCCTCCCAGCCACCCGAATTCAGAAGAGATCGCCTCTGCCTCTCTCTCTCTCTCTCTCTCTCTCTCAGCCCTACGAGGCGCCCCGGGAGTGCGACAGAGACAGAGCGACGAGTCCTTCGGAATCGGGCCTCAGAGGTCTCGGCAAGGGCGCTACCCCTTGAGGTAGGCCACTGGCAGTGCACTAATTGGTTCGCGTTAAGACGGTGGGGGCGGGGAGGCAACGCGGCTGGGTATTGCCTGTTAGCAGCCCGATTTCTGCACCACCATTAACCGCACTCCGCGGCCCAGAGAGGGTCACTTTCAGCCCCTTGGCCCGGGGCAGCCCGGCGGCACGGCACACCGCAACGCCCAGGTGCATTCCACGCTCCCCGCGGTGGTGCTGCAGTGGCGGATCCAGTGAGAGAGGGGGGGGGGGAGGCGCACTTTTTGCTCACCTAGAGGCAGGGGTAAAGTGCTGCTTTTTGCCTACCTATCAGGCGGCTCTCTAGAAGCCTTTGGCCACCACACTAGATCCGTGCCTGCAGACGAAAACTGCCGCGCGGCGGGTAGTCGTGGGGGTGGGGGGATAGCAGTGCGAAGCAGTGCCTGCCGCCGCGTCAAATCCCTTCTTTCCCCGTCAGACACGACTCCAATGATGCCGTCCCCGCGAACAAGGCGAGGCCGATCCGGGGCGACGGGGAAGGGGGGGGGGGTAGATTTGTACACAAGGACGCCAATGCGACGCCACTGCGAATCCCGACGAGGCGCGCTCGTGCAAATGCGTCAATCCAGCGCCGCGCCCGATATTCTGACAAGTTGGCTCTCGCGAGTCGAGTCTCGCGGCCGAGAGAGACGCGCCGCGTCACCCGCACCATGTCGTCTCCCAAATTGCTGTCGATTTTTCCCTCCCTCTGTTTTCCTTCCACGCTGCCGGAAGTAACGCCCCTCGTCAGCGGGCCCGCCGCACAGTGGGCCAGAAGACCGGCGCAGGCGGCCGAATAGCTCTAGACGCGTTTTGAGCTCCAGAGGCGCTAAATGGGACTCGAACCGAGCGTGTGACCCCACCAATGGATTCCTCGTTCCGGGAGCAATCCATTGGTGGGGTCACACGCTCGGTTCGAGTCCCATTTAGCGACTCTAGAGCTCAAAACGCGTCCGGGATTTTGACCGCCAAGCCTGCCCTGCTGCAGCCTGCTCAAGTCAGCCCCAAACACCCGAGCGGTACCCAGCCAGCCAGCGCCGAGGCGCCCCGGCCGATCCACGTCGAGTCAATGTTGACCCCGCCAATCACAGCCGCCCAAATAGACAGTCCCGCCTTCGGACTTTAGGACCGAGTCGTTGGGGCGCCCGGAGCGCCTAATCCGGGGCCTATCCATCCAGTAGGCGACAGGGCGCCGCCAGCCCCGCCAGCCCCGCCAGCCCAAGAGATCCAGGCGAATTTCAGCAGCGCGCCAGAGAGAGACGCCCGAGCTGTAAAACGAATGGGCAGTAGTTACGGCAACGGATGTAGGGGGAGGGCGGCATGGCGCACCCGCGCACCGCGTCCGGCGAGATGGGCTGCTTGGGGTGGAAGGGGCAGGGGCGGCCCCCGGGGCCGGCGCCGCCCCGCCGCCACGAGTGTTAAGTGTTAAGCGGGCGCTTAGCAACTCTCGGACGATGACAGCCCCTCGTATCCAAATCCAGTCGCGGCCGAGTTGCCGCCGCCACTGCCGCCGTCGCCGCCCACATAAAGCCCCGCGCGGGGCCGCCATCAAAACACAGACGAACACGGCCAAACAATCGTGGGGCCATTACAGTGGCGTCCCCGCGGCCTGCAATGGCACGTCCATAGGCCGGACTACCATTGATGCCACGCCGCTCGGGGCAGGAATGCACTGCGCACCGCGACAGACCGTCCGAACTTCAAAGGGGTATGGATTACCTCGCCGCACACCGCGGCCGTCGCACACACTGCGCTGCAGCGTCGCTTCCCCCGGTCGCCGCCAGAGGCCGCGCGCGCCCCGCCGCCCCCATGCACGCCGTCCTCAAAGACAATCAGCGGATTGACCGATATCGCTGCCCGCCTACCAGTGGAGTGCCGGCATGCGGGCCCGGCACACTGATTCCGAGAGTCGTCCGCTGTCTCCCTCGCACTCGCGGGGCGTCACGTGTAGGTGCGAGAGAGACAGAGCGACTGTCGGAACCAGGCCACTGGTGGACTGCTACCCCAGCGCGCCGGCCTTCGCTCCTCCTTGCTAACGATGTCGGCTCTGCGCTGCTCTGCGTGCGCCACCCGGGGCAGCACACTGATTCCTCCAGTCTGCCCGTCCCTCTCGCACTCACGGGGCGCCCCGTCTGGGCGCGAGAGAGACAGAGCGACGAAAACGACTCTCGGAATTAGTCTGCCGGGGGATGGCGGCTGGCCCGCCCCATTGCCGGGCGGGGCACGTCGGGGCGGACACGGCCCGACACCCCTCGGCCGCCCTCGGCCGCCCTCGGCACCACTCCGTAGATTTAACGGGTTTAACGGATTTGCCTGCGCGGCAGTAACGGATCGCGCGGCCCGGGGTATTTATAGAGCGGACCCAACAACTACAACCACTGCCGGCACTGGCACTGCCAGGGCACTGCCAGGGCACTGCCAGGGCGCTGCCAGGGCACTGCCAGGGCACTGCCAGGGCACTGCCGGCCCAAACGGGGGAAGGGGAGGTCCGGGCCCCAACGACGCCGTCAGGCGGCGACTTGCGCGGCAACTTCGCCGCCATTTCCCCCCCGCCTTCGGACCGAGAGTCGTTTTCGTCGCTCTGTCTCTCTCGCACTCACGGGGCGTCCCGTAGGGGTGCGAGAGAGACAGAGCGACGAAAGGCGACTCTCGGAATCGGTCTGCCGGGCACGCTCGGGCACTGCAGCGGGGCGGCGAGCGCGGCGAGGCACTCGGCCGGCTGTTTTGACAGGGTAATCACCTGCCGCGAGCATTACCCGGCATGATGCAGCAGTACGGCTGCCGGGCCGCGCTCGTCGCGCCCACGCCTCTGGGTTCCCGGAACACACGGGGGAGCACGGGGTATCGGGCGCGACTACACGCTAAGTGACCGAAGGGGGTCAAGCAGCCGAGCGCTGCCGAAGAGTCGTTTCGTCTTCGTCGCACTCACGGGACACAAAAGAGGGAAGATATTTGATGAAAAAAAAGGAAAAAAGACGTTTTGCGGAAAAACGGAAATGAGTTTGCGGACGACTGCTTTGCAGTGGCGCCATGAGCTAATGCACTCCACCAAGGCGAAACAGGCGGCGTTACATCCCAGCATCGGATGCAGCCATTAAAATGTGAAAAAGCTGTGATTTAATTGTTTCGCTTTTCTTAATCAGTAGAAGACTTATTGAGAGCGGTCTATCGCTTATTCCTCATGCTCCATGCATTTTCAAGGATTCCTAGCTCCAATGCTTTATACCTTTCTATTCGAGTCGATTGGAAACCTCAAATGCTTCAATTTACGTCCATTTTTATATTTTTCACATTTTTCGAAAAGTAAAGCGATGAAAAGAAACCGAAAAAAACCGTTTTTTTCGCAATTTTTCCAAATATTTTTCACGCTTTTAGAACCCTACACGGGACACTCCAAGAGGGAGGGAGTGAGCGAGAGAGCGAATAAGAGAGAGAGACAGAGAGCGCTGCGGGTGCACTGGCGATTGGCCGGCGGCGACTCCGCTTTGCAGTGCACCGCCATGACGCACTGCACGTCCACCAAGGCGGCACGGCGGCGTTACATCCCCGGCACGGCACGGCACTGCACGCCCATGAGCATGCACGCTGCACGCGCGGTATGAAACCCCTGGAGGGCTTCCCTCGGGGGGCTCACATGAGCCGGGGCGGCCTATACCGACCTTGCGCCCCACGTATGCACACCCAGAAAAAAAAAGTCACGAGAAAACAACAACAACAAAACAAACAGCCTTTTTGCGGATTTATAAACATTGAATGCATCCCGGGCAGCAACAACAACAACACCGGCAACAACGAGGCGGGCTGCACCAGACTGCAAACAAAGGGCGGAGGATCGAATCCGCGGTGCAGGCGGCGGCATTTGGCGCGGAATACAAATGATGCGAAATCAAAGAGCGTGCGTGCCAGCCGCCCCCCCGCCGCCCCCACGCCACCCCCGCGTCACCAACCCCGCCGCCCTCCGCGACACATGTGACACAACATGTGATGGGTCACACTGCAGCACTGCAAGGGGCGGCGTCCGCCCCCGCCGCCCGGCGTCCTCCGAGCACCGCGACGGCTGCGACAGCTCCAAGGAGGAGCCAAACAACAACAACAACAACAAGCTACACCGGTGCGTACAGCGCCTCACTAATTGGTCAAGGTACTCGATGTAACGACGCTGTTTTACCTGGCCCCCTTCATCCCGGTGCCCCGGTGCCGCCCCCCCCCCCCCCCCCGGTCCCTCCAGCCTGCAGC